GTGGAGAAGAGGTGGGGCGGGGCCTTGGGGAAGGGGGTGGAATCAGGGCATACCCTTTCCAGCCCCCTGCCAGGAGCCGCTCAGGGCAGGGGGCTGGGAGCAGCCCCACGACCCCAGCCCTCTGCCCTGACTCCTGCACCCTCCCACACACCCCCTCACTCCCCATGACCCCAGCCCTGACTCCTGCACCCCCCACACATACCCAGCCCCCCACACCCAATGCCCTGACTCCTGCACCCCCCTCACACACACCCAGCCCCCTCACAGCCCATGCCCTGACTCCTGACCCCCCCCCACACCTCCACCCCTACCCTGAGCACCAAACGGGAGCTCCTGCACTCCCCCGCCCCACATTCCCACCTGCAGCCCTCGCACCAAATGGGAGCTGCCCCAGGTAAGCGCTCCACACCCCAACCTCCTGACCCAACCCTGAGCCCCCTCCCTCATTCTAGCTCCTGGCCAGACCCTGCACCCCAACCCCCAGCCTGCTCCTGCACCCTAACTCCCTCCCAGACCCTGCTCCCCAGCCCTGTGCTCAGTGCACCCCCACCCTCAGCTCAGTGCAAAGAGAGACAGAGAATGGGCTAGAACCAGGGAGAAGATAGGTACCCACTCTATGTGGGCAGGGGGGATGCTGTTTACCCCCTCCCCATCCCTGCTGCGCTTGCAGCTTACCCCCAGTCCCTGCCTTGCTCCAGTCAGCAGGGACTAATCCTCCCCCCATGCTCCACTGTGCTCATCTTGCCCCTGGCCCCTGCCTCACTCCAGCTGGGGACCAATCCTTCTCTTCCCCTCCCCCCCGCCATGCTCTGCTGTCAGGGTGGATAAAAATCAATTACTTTTTTTAAAAAAAATCAGATTTTTTTTTATTTAAATCTGATTTTTGAGGGAAAAATCTATCTAAAGATAGTTTTAATTAAGATACATTATCTCATCATGGAATAGGGATTATAAATTCTAATTCTATAGTATGAGACAATATATTCATGTAATGTTTAATGCTCTTTACTGGCCATAGGAGCAGTGGCCTTTGCCAGGCCCTTACCAGCCAGGACTGTTGTCACCTTCAGAACACCGGGGTCAGGCTTCGATTCCTGGTACTTCCTAGTTCCCAAATCCAAGGGAAGGATTTTCCACCTCCGCATCCTCAACAAATATATCATATACATGAGGTTCCATATGGAACCTCATCAGCTATCCTCCTCACGTTGACTCTGAACGACTGGTGTGCTGCTCTGGACATTCATGACGCTTACTTCCATGCGGTGATTCACCTAATCCACAGAAGATTTCTCCAGTTCATTGTGGAAAACTGTCATTTTCACGAGGCAGACCTTCCCATCGGTCTGTCTTGTGCCTCCTGGGTTTTTACCAAATGTATGGTCATGGTGACTGCGTACCTCAGGAAGAATGGAATCCATGTCTTCCCAGATCTAGATGACTGGCTAATCAGGGGCAGGCCTAGGGAAGAAGTCCTTTTTCATGTATGCATTACACTGTGTTTATTCAACCATCTGGGTCTCATCCTAAATTCCAGAAAGTCAACGCTGGTACCCATTCAGAAAATCAAGCTCATTGTGACCCTAATAGACTCTACAAGTTGGAGAGTGTTTCTGCCAGCTGAACATTTCCAGACATCTTGGTGTCTTTGTCTCGGTCTGCTGTCTTTGTCTCAACCTTCCACGACAGTTTTCATGTGCCTGAGACTCTAAGGCCACATATCCGCATGCATGCCGGCGGTTCAGTTCACAAGTGTAAACTTGTGCCCTCTTCAAATGTGGCTCAGGACTGTTCACTGGCCAACTCTTCACCACCTAGACAGGTTGGTCTGCCTTCCTCTGTTGATCCTGGACTCTTTGCAGTGGTGCCTGGTTCAGGGCAATGTATATCAAGGCATTCCCTTTTCCTGGCCCTTACCAACCTGGACTTGTCAGCGATGCCTCCCTGGAAGCTCCACTGTATATCAGTGTCCTGGAGTTTTGAACCATCTACAATGCCTGTTTCACTTTCCTAGACAACATCAAGGGTTTGGTAGTTCACATACTTACCGACAATACCACCACAATGTATTATGTGAACAGGCAAGGGCGAGCATGCTCAGGGAGCTCTGCCAAGAAGTGATCAGGTTGTGGCAGTTCTTCATCAATAAGGGTATCACTCCGATAGAAATTCACTTGCCAGGATCCAGAATCATCTCGTGGGCCACCTCAGCAGGAATTTTTCGCTGAGCCACAAATGGTCTCTGAAGCCCAGCATTTTGTGTGTCATCTTTGCAGTGTGGGGCATCCCAACGATCAACCCTGTTCACTATAAGGGACAACAGGAAATGCCATCCATTCTGCTCTCAAGAGGGCTTCAGTCCAGGCTCCCTGACCGATGCCTTCCACCTCAGCTGGCAGTCGATTTTCCTGTACGCTTTTCCTCCGATCCTGATCATTCCCCAGATCATCCTCAAGCTGAAAATTCATCCTCGTTGCCCCAGTATGGCTGAAGGAGGGTTGGCTTTCTGATCTTCTTGCGCTGTCAGTTCAGCCTCCTATATCACTTTCTCTCCATCCCAGCTGGCTCACGCAGAATCACAGATGCACTTCGCATCTCGCACTCAGCATCTCATAGCGTGGCTGCTCCATGGTTGAATGAGGAAGAGCGATGTTCAACAGCTGTTTGATGGGTCCTACTCGCTAGTAGAAAACCCTTTACCAGGATGGCCTATTCAGCAAAGGTTTGTTCACAAACCATTATGCAGTTACTGTGGCATGCAAAGCAGATGCAAACTTTGGGAAGGCCGTCCTGAAGTCCTTATTTAAATAGACTTTGAGCCCCACCTCTTGTGAGTACTGCTTATGAATCACCTAAGTGGAATACGCGGCTGCATCTACTCAAAGAGGAAGAAATGGTTACTTACTGTAACTGGTTCTTCGAGGTGTGATGCAGATATATATTCCAAGACCTGCCCTCTGTCCCCTCTGCATTGATGTCTAGTCTCTGGTTGTTCAGTGCGAAGGGATTGAGGGGAGTCAGGGTGGTGCAGCCTCAGGGGAAGGGCTTATGGTCAGGAAGCGCAAGCTCTGTCCCTCTACGAGTACTGCTAGGCAAAATTCTCCAGCTCTGATGCGCTGGACACGCATATACCTAAGAGGAATACACATCTGTATCACATCTCAAAGAACCACAATTAAAGTAAATAACTGTTTCTTTTGCAGAGCTCAAGGAAACATTCCACCTTCTCTCATCTCCCCCTTTTCTCCCAGCTCTCCATGCCTGTGTCTGTCAGATAGTTGTTGGGACCTGATCCATAGAGGTGCTGAGCACCAGCCCTGTACTCCTTCATTCTCTTCTCCTGTTGCAACTTCCATTGAACTCCTGTGGAGTTGTAGGGTTCAGCGCTTCTCAGCATTGATCTTTCATACAAGGATGGATTTAGAGAACAATACAATGATATTACCATACAGATGAGTGTTTACAGTGACTGGTTGGTACTTGCTTAAACACAGGCTTTCAGCATTTAATTTGGGCATGTGGAGTTTTCTCAGGCCTTGGGGACTCAAGTATTGACCAGCAATGCAATTGCCAAGACTGTGGGTGTATATATACCTTTTGAAATGAGAGTGCAGTAAAGATGACAATGGATTTTACAGGAATACTTTCCATAAGGATTCATGATGGTTGCAAGTCACTATGCTAATCCACTTGTTCCCATGACCTGACTTAGAATAGTCAAGTGATGTCTCTCTTGTATGCTTCCCAATGTCCCTCACGATCAAAGCTGTTTCTCATGTAGAAATAAAATAAGTAAAGTCTTTCTTTTGCCCAGTGCAAAAAAGCATCTAACATCTGCTGTGGAGCCCATGATGTACATATGGTTTTTCCTGACTGTTAACTTCTCTTGGAGAGTTTTCAGCTTGTGTTCTAGAGTCTTCCTCTTTCTTCCTTGTCATTTTGGTTTTTTCCTGTTTGTCTGATGGCTGTTACTACCATCCAATGGTGCACTCTCCCTCAATATCTACAGGCTCTACTCTTGTATTTGGTCATTTGTTAATTGACTGCTCTCTATATGTAAGGAAAAAAGGGTTCATGGTGTCATCAGCTAAAATGTTTGGAGTCAGCAAGTGTAGGATGCAGTTGGTTGTTGTTTTCCATTAAACTTGATCCAGTAATAGTAATTGATAGTAACTCTCCTTTCACTCAGTGAGATTTGAGCAAGATATATATCATACGTTAGAAACAAAGTTTCCCTGAAAAATTGCACAGAGTGTTTTCTGGTTGGATCCTTCCCTCTAATTCATTCTTCCTAAATCCTTTTGTGGACCATTGATAAGCATCAAGAGTATCCGAGGACACGGGGAAAGATTTTCAAAAGCAGTTAAGGTATTTAGGAACATGAGTCCCATTGACTTTCAATGGAGCCTGTGCCCCTAAATCCCAAAGGCACTTTTGAAAATCCCACCTATGATTCTTTGCTGGAAATATCAGAAATGTTCATCTAATGTTTGTGGTTATAGTGTTTCTAGTCCAATGCAGAGTTATATTCTGAAACTTCAATTATGACTTCTGCAGACATACATAAGGCAAGTTTTAGCTCTAGTGCATTACAGTACTATATTTCTCTTCCTCCCTGAAGTCTCCTGCCCCTTTCTTTCTGCAAAATGACTCCTGCTAAATAAAATTGTTCAGCGAGACATTACAACTTCTGCTGTGTATGTAAAAACTGCCACTTCATGTTTCTGTTATATAAAAGCCTAGGGGATGGCATTGACTGTTGTATGGTGCCCAAATGTCCTGTAACTTAGGGGACTGAATGGAAAGCAAATGATCAAGTTAATATAGAGAACTTTTCTGCAATTTACTCCTTTGTCCTGTTTTTTTCCCCCCAGTGTCATGTCTGACTGTTTGTTAGTTTTCAGATGTAGGAGTAGTGGTTTTCTAAATTTAACTTTCATGTACTTCAAGCTTTGTGGTATTGGTTTTTCTCATTTCACCTTCTCTGAATTTCCTGACAGAAGTCCTGGAGGGGATTTGGGAGCTAAAAAGAAGAAAAAGAAACAGAAGAGAAAAAAGGAGAAACCAAACTCCGGTGGCACCAAATCAGATTCTGCATCTGACTCCCAGGAGATTAAAATTCAACAGCCTTCAAAAGTGAGAGCCTTGTTTTATTTTAACTTCTGTGGTTTCCTGTGAAAGTGGGTAGTGCTGCCTTAACACTCATTTGAATCGGGCATGGGTAGTTTGGGTTATTGTCATGATTAGAAATGAAAGGACAAGGAACTATGTGAGAAGGTAAGTATGTACAGTAGTTGGCAGCCTTTAAAAAGCTGCCACCGGTGTATGCTGGTGATTACCAGGGAGATGTGTTCTGTGAAGGGAGGAGGTGACAGCTTTTTCAGTTGTTAACATTCAGGGTGGTGGCCTGGTAGCAGAGAATTTTAATCTGCACCTGTAATGTTTTTGTAGCATATTTTGTGTTTGATAAATTGCCTCTAGTTTAGCCTCATTCTAACTTGTCCTGATTTATATCCAATTTCTTGAACAGTACAGTGCCATCTGGTAGTGGATTTCAGTAGCAGGGAGGCAAGTCTATCCTGACTGCTGCACTTTGAATTGGATCTGTCTTCAGCAGCTGCTGATGAAGAGGTTGTAGAATCTCCATCATTGGAGATTTTTAAGAGCAGGTTAGACAAACACCTGTCAGGGATGGTCTAGATAGTACTTAGTCCTGCCATGAGTGCAGGGGACTGGACTAGATGACCTCTCGAGCTTCCAGTCCTATGATTTTATTTTTGAGGGAAAATACCATACAAAGCGTCTGAGGAAACTTCTGTGTCATGGGCATCCACACTTAGATAATGCAAGCCTCAGTTGGAGAAACAAGCAGCCTGTTGCCTTGAAGTACACACCTAATTGGCATAAAATGGAGCCAGTTGCATCTGTCCTCTTTAGTACTGAGATACAGTCTGGGGAGGCTCCAGATCCATCCAGATCTGTGCCCAGGGGCCGATTTGGGGGCCCCCTGCAGGAGCCCGTAACTTGGGTAGAAGTGGGGCCATAACTGTGGCCCTGCCTCCTGCTCCTTCTCTTCCCCCAGGGCACCACCCCGGGCCAGGCCAGAAGCCAGAGTTGGACAGTGGTAGGAGCTTTCCAGGGAGCCTGGGGCACTGTAGGGGTAGCCCTGGACCCTCCGTCTGCTCTGGGCAGGGCCCAGCGTACCCAAAAACAGCTCCTAGCCCATGTCCCCACCCTCCGGGGCACGCTGCTGCCGGTGGGACCCAGAGGAAGGGACTCTGGTCTGGCCTCCTGCTCCTTCCCTTCCTAATGCCAGGCTGCCCCTGTTGGGTCCCTCCTGCTCCTGGTGGCAGGTTGCCCCTGCTGCCACCTGGGCTTTGAGCCCAAGCAGCAATCATGTGCGGCACTGCTCCTCCTGTCGCCTCTGGCCCGAGGCTTGCAGGTTGGGGGGTGGCAATGCTATCCTGCCCTCCCCAAACTATGCCCATGCCGCTGCCGTACCTGCCCGAGGCTACTATGCCCATGTTAAAAAGTGGGCAGGCATGGCCCTCCCATTTTTAAAAAGTGCCCAGTTCTGGCACCCCTGTGCCCCAGAGTATGGGGGACCAAATGTTCTTTGTGCCCAGGACCCCAATACATCTTAATCCGCCTCGGATGTGATGGTCCATTTTCACCTGAAAGGCCTCTGCTTTAAATCAGAATGTCCCATCACACAATGGGATATGTATCCTCCACAGGCTCTGTGTTAAATATGATGTTGGCTGTGAAGCACCTCTGGGCTATGGACCATGCTTTGACCACCTTATTCTAAGTAAACAGGGAAAAATATGACTTTTAAAAATATTTAGCTTAGAATCATAGAATCTTAGAATATCAGGGTTGGAAGGGACCTCAGGAGGTCATCTAGTCCAACCTCCTCTCAAAGCAGGACCAATCCCAAACTAAATCATCCCAGCCAGGGCTTTGTCAAGCCGGGCCTTAAAAACCTCCAAGGAAGGAGATTCCACCACCTCCTTAGGTAACCCATTCCAGTGCTTCACCACCATCCTAGTGAAAAAGTTTTTCGTAATATCCAACCTAAACCCACTGCAACTTGAGACCATTACTCCTTGTTCTGTCATCTGCTACCACTGAGGACAGTCTAGATCCATCCTCTTTGGAACCCCCTTTCAGGTAGTTGAAAGCAGCTATCAAATCCCCCCTCATTCTTCTCTTCTGCAGACTAAATAATCCCAGTTCCCTCAGCCTCTCCTCATAAGTCATGTGCGCCACCCCTCTAATCATTTTTGTTGCCCTCCGCTGGAGTCTTTCCAATTTTACCACATCCTTCTTGTAATATGGGGCCCAAAACTGGACACAGTATTCCAGATGAGGCCTCACCGATGCCGAATAGAGGGGAATGATCACATCCTTTGATCTGCTGGCAATGCCCCTACTTATACAGCCCACAATGCCATTAGCCTTCTTGGCAACAAGGGCACACTGTTGACTTATATCCAGCTTCTCGTCCACTGTAACCCCTAGGTCCTTTTCTGCAGAACTGCTGCCTCGCCATTCGGTCCCTAGTCTGTAGCAGTGCATGGGATTCTTCCGTCCTAAGTGCAGGACTCTGCACTTGTCCTTGTTGAACCTCATCAGATTTCTTTTGGCCCAGTCCTCTAATTTGTCTAGGTCCCTCTGTATCCTATCCCTACCCTCCAGCGTATCTGCCACTCCTCCCAGTTTAGTGTCATCTGCAAACTTGCTGAGGGTGCAGTCCAGGCCATCCTCCAGATCATTAATGCTTCAATCAAGAATTCCAAGTGATACAACTTAGAAACCTTACCCTGAGGAGTGAGCTTCATAGCACCATCATGTGAAAGTTCACAGACCATTGATTGTGCGTGAGTGGAGAGGTTGTCTCATCTGATTAATGCAAAGAAACTCAACTTCATGCCATTAGTCCCCCTATAAGATTTGACAAGTGTAATAGTGTAATCTGTTTATTTCAGGGGGGAAATTTTGTTCTGTTTTGCTGGCATGCTGATACATTATGTATTGTCCTCTCTAGGGCAGCGGTTCTCAAACTCTGGGTCGGGACCCCAAAGTGGGTCCTGACCCCATTTTAATGGGGTCACCAGGGCTGGCTTAGACTTTCTGGGGCCCGGAGCTGAAGCCTGGGGCCAAGCTGAAGCACAAGCCCCATGGCCCAGGACAAAGCCCACTGCCTGGGGCTGAAGCCCTTGGGCTCAGGCTTCAGTTCCCCCTCCTGGGGTCATGTAGTAATTTTTGTTGTTAGAAGGGGGTTGCGGTGCAATGAAGTTTGAGAACCCCTGATCTAGGGCTTTTTCAGTGTCACCTCCAGTGCTATGCGTGTGCTGCTTTTGCATTAGGTTTTGCATTTTTAAATGTGTAGCAAGAACATACAGTATCACCAAGAGTGATCACTTTTTAGACTCCTCATGCTCTTTAATTTTGATTTTCTTTAAAGAATGGGCTGTTTTGTCATGGGTCTGCAATATAATAGTAAACAGATTTGAAGTTAGTTGCTTATAGTAAAGTCAGCTAGAAGGATGTTAGAATTTTTACTACCTTTCTGAAGTAAAGATGCAGTTCCTTATTATTATGTTTTGAACGGTGTATTTTAAAATACATACAGTTTTAAATCCCTTTTTAATGAATTACAATAATACTTTGTTAATCCAAATTAATATACAGACTTTTTTCCCTCAAGAAAGAGAATCTGTAGCCAATCATTACTTCTCCTGTTTTGGTAAGTCTGGCCAGCAGTTAATTTTTCAGCTACTCCAAGCAGGGTTTAATGGTTGTGTTAGTATGAAAATGCTTTATTTTTTCTTGTTCAGTTGACTCTTCCAGGAGCAGCTTCCTTTAAAACTATTTTAAGTACATTTCAGTGCATACAAAATATTTTTTAAATGTCAACTAAGTAAAAATTGCTCTCGACCTCAAATGGGGAAACGGATACCACAGAATTAACTGAGAGATGTAACACTTTAGAATAAAATGATATGGGGGGGGGGGGATAATCTGATTCAAAACCAGGGATTATGACCTGTCACTGACAATATAGCCCATGGATCAGAATTCATTAGTTAAACTATAAAATAAAGATTCTGTACATTCACTAATCTTGACAGCCTCACTTTTAGGATGTCAGGAAGTAGTTGGCCTTTGACCTCAAGTTACATAGGTTCGTGTTACACTTTCTGGGGAAACTAACTCTCTAATCAGAATAGCCAAATTTCCATCAAATCTGTAGCACCATGTTTCACAAATTGTTTTATATCAGTAGCAAGCACAGTTAAGCTCTGTGTATGATGGCCAGGGAAAGTGGATAATTGCCTTTCTGCCAAGAATTATATTTGCTCACTATTCACCAGAGAGCTGGATGGATCATGCAAAGTGCTGATGCATGCCCTCAACTTCTGTTGAAATTCATGGGGATTGGGGGTGCTCAGCACTTGCAGTTTTGTATCCATACTTTCTCTGGCAAATGTAGACTGGGTCACATTATGCTGCAGGTATGATATGCACATCTCTGTCATATGTTGTTTACTTATGCTCACTAAAACACCTGATGATATGATGGTCACCACAGGGACAAAGCCTCGCTAATTCCACTATGTTTGTAGCCATTTTTATTGTAGATAGTATGTGAGATTTGATTTTTATTTAAATATATATGCTAATAAAAAGCCCCTCTCCAAACCTCTAGTGATTAAAACAAGAGGCCTTAATTTCAGATTCAACATACAGGTACCCAGTTCACTTGCCTTTGTATTCACCAGCTCTGTTCCTGTCCACACAAGTAGTAAGTAAATGGAGCTTTTCTAGCTAGATTTCTGAGCTGTTTTGGACTGTCAAGCTGGTCAAGTGCTGAGCAATATTAATTTTCTTTACTAGTCATGGAAAACGTGTGTTTCTCCTTATTTGTGATTCTTGAGTTTTATAAATTATACTGTGACCTTTGGCATTTGTTTCACTTTTAAGTGAAGGGAGTTTGCAGGTATTTTAGCTGAGATGGGTATTGTGTGCCTTTCCTCTAAGGTAAACATACAGGATCATCTAAGAGTGCTGTTGGGTCTAGGTGAAGGTGGGGGCTGAAGGTGGATGATGAGATGGGACAGCGTTGTAAG